ATACTGACCACTGCCTCTGCGGCCTCGGCCTGCTTCCTCTTCTCCTCCTCCTCCTGGTCCAGCTCCTTGATGGACTCCTCCAGTACGTTCGGCCAGAAGTCGCCCTCGAAGTAGGGCAACTCCGCCGCCGAAGAGATATTGTCCTCCATCGCTTGCTTAAGTATATCTTTGTAATCTAATATTATCCTCTCTATGATACCTTTATCTAACATCTTTTTGTACCATTCTTGCAACCTTTTAGGTTTGGGTATCTTTTGTTCGGGCGGATGGCAGTGAAAGATGTAGTCGTCCCCCTCGGAAGGGGGACAGGCCCAAATATGGGCCATCGTGTACCCCAATTGCTTGGCGTAGTCCAAATAACCTAATAAAATCTCATGATATACCGCAGTCCTATATTGTCTAGGTTGGAAGAAATGTACAGAGTCTAGATATGCTATGTAAACACGCCTCGTGTTAGGCGACGGACTTTCACTACCATATTCCTGAAAATAAAACCACAATAAGTACAAAATAACGGTCTGAATATTCTAAAATTTAATGTATATAGCAACAACATACCTGCACATGCATTCCAAAGAAACAAATATCAGTTCCATCCACCTCTTCAAATGCAAATAATGCTTTCGCCCGATACGGGAATTCGGGAGATAATTCACTTGATTCTACAAATCTAGATTTCATACCAGGCTTAACTTCTACAATCTGAAAAATACATATTCATGAAAAAACACTGTTCTACATATAATTTAATTGAAGAAAATTTTAGTTTTAAATCAATGTTCGTTCATTACAAAAGTATGGAAGTGATGGATTCTATAAATCGATAATTCATACCTTATCGGAAGAAGCGACCACCCTGATATGCACCTCGCCCGCGCCAGCCTCTTTCTTCTTAAGAAAATTATTAACTCTAGTCTCAATATAAATGCCGAGCTTCGAAGTGGGCAACTTCTTAGCACAAAACTTATTCTCTTTCCGCTTGGCCCCTTTCTTCTTGAAACAATTATCACAGCAGAAACCCTGCGGCCAGATCTGGCCGTGGTGCAGTACGCATATCTGGTGCTGCTTGCGCCCGCAGTCCAGGCACACCACGAATGGTTCTTGCTCCAAATGATCATTTTTCATTTCTTTGAATTGGTCTTTCTTGGTGGCTCTAAAACATGCATACAATTTGAAATAATTTGCCATAAAAATAATTACGTATACTTCAAGTGTCTAGAAAATAGAAATATAAATTCAACTGTTAATTTTTTGTTGATTATAGAGTTGAACCACATTGTATATGTCCAACAAAATCGAAGATAAAAATTGTTTAATATAGTAAATATTATGTAAAGTAGTAGACAACTTACGTCTGCGGCTGTAGCGGGTCGTCGCCGAGGGTGACGGTGTCGCCCTGGATGTCATTGAAGCACTTCTGGCAGAAGGTGTATCTATCGGACACAACCCCATACGCTTTTAGACTTTATTCGCAAGGTGGCAGCGTACCGTGGCGATGGTAGTGGTGTGAAGCGTGACAGGAACGTTTTGAGTGCAGACAAGGAGGTGCGTGGAGAGGGCGAAAAAAAATTAGTAAGCAAAGACAACATAAAAGGGATTTGTTAGACAGTTCACAATATCGAGGCGACAGTATGGCTAACGACAGCGACGTCTACACGAGCACACCGCAGAGCACTGTTCGACACAGGTCTGGTAGAGATATAGTACAAAGCGGAGGAGGGCTGGCTAGTTACTACCTGCACATGTGTACTACATGTCAGCACTACGATTATGATGCGGTAGGGGAAACAATCTCTATAAAAACTGGATTGTGTTGAAGTAGTATGGCTCGAAGTTACTTATAGCTAGCAAAATATTTCACATATAATTTTAGAAACAAAGTTAAAAAGATCATTATGCAATGTTTTGATGATAATAAGTCCTCGCGCCTTTGTCCAATCGGAGTGACTGATATAAGAAACATAATCCATCCATTTTTCTGAGCCTATTACACTTCAATCTATGTAGTTTCTTTATACTTTTGTCTTAAATTGCTCAGTTTATTTTTTTCAAAATCCAACATACTGAAATTTAAAATCCAAAATCAGTTTAATTTATAAAGAGGTAAATAATATTAAACTATTATTATTTAAATGTTTTAATTATTGGGTGCAGTAGAAAAATTCAATTTAGATAATTCAGTTACGAACATGACTATGAACATGTATGTACATGTTTTGTCAAAATTGTCGAAGCACACAAGTGCTTTTTCTAACATATGTGTCAAGTGATCTTTAATCATCAATTTTAGTTTACTTTGTTTCTAAAACTTGTTCATTACTAATTATTATAACCTTGCCATTTATATGTGACAATATCTTAATCAGTGATAGCTATTTCAAGACCTTAATTCAAGGCTCATTGATAAAATATATAATAATATTAAAAAACATAGAGACAATGTTAAAAAAAATATGTTGGCCTTGAATTAAAATACATCCTTCTATGCCCAAAAGATTGTAAAATCTGTCTTTATAGCCAATCGAATGAAATCTAAAACTGTCTAACCATTTCCCAAATGTAATAAAATTTTGACTTATTGAAACTTTTGTTCATAGACATACAATATAATATGAAAAAGACAATCAAATTTTTTCCTGGTACATTGTAATTTAAGGAGAATGATAAAACCATACTAATAGTGAAATTATAACAAAATATGAATAACAGAATGTCGATAACATTATAAATTAGTTAAAAATTATATTGAAGTGCAAGATTTACTTCAAATCTCTTTTTACACTATATGATTGTCTGTTTCACAATAACCATGAACAATATTTTGCACACTTAACTCGAGTTTAAGTCACTTATCTATGCAAAAATAAATGCGCATCTTTTAAGACTCAATGATACTAGAGAAAAATTAAGATAATTAATTAGGAATTATGTCTTTAAATAGATGTTCATGGTCAAGAAACAAAAAATAATCCATAAAACATATACAATTTAGTTCCCAAATATTTTTAATATTGGAGACCTAAACTGTATAGCTATATAAATAACGAGATGACCAACCTGTTCTGGTAGCTGAAGTACTTGGCGTCGCGCGGAATGGTGCAGAGCTGCTTGCCGTAGCAGCACAGCACTTGCGGGTTGAAGGTGTACTTCCTGCCGCAGCAGTAGCCCAGGTTCTGCATCACCGGGTCTATCTCTTGCTCAAACACTTCCGACAGCTGCAGGGGAAATTATCCTTTGAAATAATCCATACTAAAATAACAACATCAGAAATCTACGATGTGAATGTTCGTCTCACCTTAGTACAATACCTGTAGACCCTAGAATTCTTCCTATTGTAAAGCCACGCGTTGTCGAACATCAGCCAGACGTCGTCCACATACTCCCACGGGTCTTTGTATTCACCTCTGTCCAACTTCATCTTGATGGTGGACAGATCTATTGGCTTCGTCACAATGTCAAAGTAGTCAGGGATGCCCAGGGCTTGTGCGTCGACCGGCTGACGAAACGGCAGCGACTCCGGGTCCAGG